GCAACATCAGTACAAAGCAATATGCCTTTTTCTGCTTTGCAAAAATCAAAGAATGTAGTTGTACGCTTCTGCTGCTTCTGCTTTCCGTGAATATCCAAGCAATCAATCTGAATATATCGAAGAAGTTCTGCATGGAATTTGACTGAGTTGCAGGAAGAGAAAAAGACCATAATTTTCTTTGACTGATTCCTCTTCAAAAAAGAATATAGAAGGATAAATCTCTGGGAACTGGGCACAACACAATAGCCTTGCTGCAGCCCTTCATTGGTCACCTAAAATGCCAGAGTTTATTTTGTTAAATTATGTCAAAGTGAACTCCACCGTGTATCCAGAAACTGAACTTCAAAATATATGTCTACCTTCCTTCTCCCATCATCCACATCAATATAAATAGGAGTTGTCTGAAATGATAGACGCGCAAGGTCCTCAACCTGTAGATTAAGCAGCAAGGCAAAAAGTAGTTGGTATTAGATCAAAACCTTAATTAAACATCAAAATGAAAGTAAAGGAAGATTTTTTATTTCCCTTGGGAAGAATATAATGGTATAAGAAACCTGGAATATACAACAACCGAGAAAAAAAGCTAAAGATTGATTAAGTTAAATGATCAACAAACATAAGGGGGGAGCACAAACCTTCTTGGTCTGTGTGGCTGAAAAAAGAGCAGTTTGCCTATTCTGCACCACAAAATACTCTAACGGAATCAGTTCAAGCAACTTGAAAGTTACTGAATATAAACTTATTTAGCAATACAAAAGAAATCAAGATCAACTTAAGCTATTTCATCATTGAGTAAGCAACATCATAAGTGACCAGAAGAAATTCACCTTCGGTAGAAGCTTAATAATTTGCCTCATTTCATCCTCAAAATTTGCTTCCAATATCCGGTCTGCTTCATCAATCATAAGGCACTGTGGTTGCAAAAAATTTTGAAATTTTGAATTTACATCGGTGTATACATCCAACAAGAAATACTCGAATGACTGATTTAAGTTACTTTTATGTTTAAGACATTGCCATGCTGGCATGATTCATGAAACAGCTGAGTAATGACATGCAGTAAAAAAAAACAATTAGATCATATAATAAAACAAGGGTAAAGAAATTTCTGTCACCTTCAGGTTTTTGTATATGAAGCCTTTGGTATTTTGAAGATGATCAAGCAGTCGACCAGGGGTTGCTATTAATAAATTTACTCCCTTCACAATTCGCTCTGCTTCTCCTCTTCTAGCTGAACCACCAATAACCAAGCCAAGAGTCTGGGAATGGTACTTGAGAAGATCCTTTGCCACAGCATGAGTCTAAAGTATTTGAAGGTTAAATTAATCAGGGACAAGTGAAGTAGTGTAATGTGAAGGAAACATGCTTAATTATTTATGTACTATTTTGTTAATTTCAACTTTCAAAATAAGGAGGAAATGAAGGAACAACTGACACTATGATCAAACTGAATCTCTTGAAAAAGCAACCTGTTATGATTTTTCTTTCTGCAGCTAATTTAACTTAGAAAAGATACCATAGGCATGTCAAAATGTCTCTACTTGAACCTATAGACTATCACTGTATCAAATACCAAAACATCTAATCAGAAAGACAGAAACTACATAGATTACACGATGCTGACCTTTGAAGTTTCCTGACTTAACTGGAAGAAAAGTTTGAATGGAAGAGGAATAAAATATATCTAAACAAGGGTGAACTGATTATATCTTCTAAAAGAATTAATATCTCACACAAAATAGTTAGTACTGCTTCTACTATTGCATAGGCAGCATTAATGATGAAGTAAGCTATAAAGAGAGAATTATCCAAGCATATCATGATTTTGAAGAAAGTAGGCATCAGAATTACTGAATCCAATAATTTTCACCTGAATGGCGAGCTCCCTTGTAGGACAAATGACAACAACACCCGTTCCATTGCGAGGAGCAAAGCGAACATTATACAACAACTCCACAGCTGGGATAAGGAAAGCAAGAGTTTTACCAGAACCTGTCCTTGCAGCCCCAAGAACATCTTTGCCAATCATAAGTGGTGGGATTGATCTGGCTTGAATCTAAATTGCAATAGCAGGAAAATTTTCAGAAACATGCAAATATTACATAAACTAGCAACATGAAAATAAATAAAATAAACATAATTTTAACACCCCACAATGTACTGAAAGGTTCTGGCAACCTCCAGCTTCCCCCATAAGCTGAGCTAGGCCACCAACTTAAACTATACAACCACAATTCATTACTCAAAGTGAAAAACTCAGCGAAAACACAACAAATTCATCAAATAAAATTTTGATTCAGAGCAATAGTATGTTGAAAATTTTACAGGATAAAGGCAAAAACGGTACCTGGGTCATGTGCTGAAAACCCATCTCCTTGATAGCCTTGAATGTTGGTTCGGACAGTCCCAGAGACCCAAAAGATTCAGTGGTCATTATCCCGCTCCAGACCTTCTTCTCCTTCTCTTTTTCTTCTTCCTCCGCCCTCTCAACTCCATTATCTTCTTCGATGTTCTCCTCTCCATGATTCTCTTCACCGGCAGGCTCTTCTTCTGGGTCGGAGACAATTTTTCGCTTTCTATTGCGCTTCCTTTTCTTTTCCACAGCTTCCTCAGAAGCAAAATTTGTCATATCTTTCTCGGCAACGTTTTCTTCTCCGATACCTATCTCCGGCCCGCTGCCGTCCTTTCTAGTTATCTTCTCTTTCTTTCCCATAGCTTCCGCAAAAATGAAGTTTGATTCCGGCAACACAAATGGCTATCTAGGTTTTACTAAACCCTAATCTATAAAATATGATTGAGGTTTTCCGTTTATATTTATATAAAGTTATAAACCCTAAATATAAAATCACTAAAAATGTGTAAATATTGTATTTTTAGAGACTAATGTGTATATATTGAAAGACTTTACGGACTATTTGATAGTATAGCTAAAAAAAGTATATTTTTTATAATTCAGTTATAAAAAAAAATGTTTAAAATTAAAAATTTAAGACTTAAAGTATTGATAGTTAATCTTTTATATATAACCACTTTGAAATCATTATTAATTTGTGTTAAAATTTTACATTTCTTCCACCAATCTTACACTTATGTGGCTTTTTTTTCTCCTACATTAAAATCAAAGTTTTTAAGTTTTTCTTTTTTTTGTCAAAAGGTTTTGTAAGTTAGTGGGTTTAGGATTTATGATCTAAAGTTTAAAGTTTTTTTTTTTTGGGGATAAATAAAGTTTAAAAATTTTAAATTGGTAAATATCAACATATCCAATCTCTTATTAACATAAATTATTATAATTAATTAAATTATTTAGTTGGTTCAACAACTTAATTTAATTAGTTAAAATAAGATTATCTTTCCTCTCTTACTTTCATTTTCTTCTAATTAAACAGACCATAAGGATTATTATTGTGCAATCTCCTCAAGTTGGATTGCAAAAAAAATTTTGTTTGTCAAAACCCTACATTAAGCTTTTGAAGTTATTTTAGATTATCAATTAAGTTTCTAAACTTTTGTAAAGGAAATAAATCCCTAAACTTAGCAATTAAAGTAATTTAACTAATTTTTTCACAATGAATTTAAAACCCATTTGTGATTTACTTGTGTTGACAAATTCAATACCAACCACATAGATAATGATATGTAGATAGTTTATCTATGCAAGTGAGATATAAATGGGTATTATGTCCATTGTAAAGAGCTAAATTATTCAAATTATTAAGTTTATAAACTCATTTGCTTCAATAAAAGTTTAGAAACTTAATAAAAATTTTAAGATAAAACTAGGGCCTTAACATAGGGTTTTACCTTTTGTTTTCTTAATTCAGTGGCACTATTGGCATTTTTCTACAAAACCTAATCCCTATCTACTTATCTGTTTTATCAGTAATTTTTCCCATTGATTCAATATTGAATCAAAATGATTTAAATTAAAATAACATTTATTGGTCCATGCCATTAGATTAGAGAATGATATATAGTTTAGTTTATTTACTAGTCTAAACTTTTTTTTTTTTTGAATAAGGGAAATTTTTAGGGAAAAGGATGTCAAGGTTGGGAATATAATTAGGTCTATTATGTCGGACTCAATCCATTATGCCCAACCTCACCCGTTCAAGTGGATGATCACTAATCTACTAAGGGTTGGATTACCAGTCTAAACATTTTAGTTGGAACCTCTAACATTTTTATAGGACTTACATTTTCAAACATAATTCATATCAATCAATAAGTGAACAATTAATTATTAGATTATTATTTTTTAACAATTACAAATTGAGGGAGGGAACCTTGCTAACCCAATGGCCTATAAGGCAGGTGTTAATATAGTCGATAAATATATTAGACACGGGCGAAACTAGGAAAAAATAAGATCTGATACAATCCCAACTTTTGACTTTTGCATTACAATTAAATATCCTTTGTTACTAAAAAAAGACTTGGGAATACTAAAAATGAATTACTTGCCTGTAGTTTTGAAGTTTAACCGTGCTTCTTTTTTTCTTTTTTTCTTTTTTATGAAAAGAACCGTGGTTCTTCTTCTTAAAAAGTTAATTAAAAATTAAAAAACAATTTATAATTTAAATATTTTAAATTATAAAGTAAGACTCATTAAAAATATAGTAATAAAATTTACATCCGAATATAAAAAGAAATAAGGTCTGTCAATATTCCTCTGTCCTCCTAACGGCAATGACAGCTTTTACAGAAGTCACCACCTTTACCATTGATTCAGTTCCCCAATAATCCTATGATGTTCAATTTGGTTGACCATCATGAAAACTGGTTTAGTCCATGATGAGCATGGAATGATGATGAGGCTCAGCTGCACCATATAGTCTACCATGTTTTTATCGACATCCTGTTAATTCGTGTAGGGGTAACTTGAATCTTAATTTTAAGTTTAAATTTTATAAATAAAAAAATAAATAAAATAATTATTTTTTATAAAATTTGACACAATTTAATTTTAAATTAATTTAATTTAGTGTGATTATTAAATATTAAAAGAAAAAAAAAACTATCAAGTCTTCACAGTTCACAGGCCGAGGGTTTTCCATGCAATTGGAAATTTCTTAGTGGACCCCACATATCTAAAAAATGGCTAACCGTTGGACACTAGCAAAAATTTGACCGTTACAAACATCATTTGAAAATTAAAAAAAAAAAAACTCTATCAATCCACCATGTGTTTTCGTCCTTCCACCCCGTTTCTTCAGTTAGATTCCCTTGAAAGTGGAGTGCTGCAATCCAGAATTGGAGTCTCAATAGCACTTTCATTTTGAACACAGTTCCCACGTCAACGGCTGAGATTCTGATTTCTTCCCTCTCTTTCAATTCCTCCCTTTTAAGCTTCTCTCGTCTCAACTACATCTTCAGGAGGGTAGATTCTCCGGGAAAATTTCAGTCTTTCCTTTAACTTGATTGTATTTGAGCTGCTTTTCTTAGTGGGTATTGGGAAAAAACCATCTGGGTATGTTTGGATAGTGAGAAAAATAAGAGAATGCCTGTATCAACACGGTCCAAGATTAACACCCAAACCCAAGATGAGGCAAATCAAGAGGAGCAAAGAACCAGACTCGGATCAGATCAAGAAGAGACGCACACGAATGCTCAAATGAGAAATCTTCACCATGGATTGAAGGAGAAGATGAAAGCTTTGACTCTGTTATACGAGCAGCAGAAGAAAGCAGCAGCTACTCGCCGGAACCCATCTCCGAAACCGGAAGAGAAGCGGTTTTCTTCGCACCCAAGTGTTGAGCTTCTCAATTCTTGCAGAAGGGAGGATAAGAAAGAAGAGAAAGAACAAAAAGATTCAAACTTGCCCAATGTGATGCGCGAAAACACAATGCCCTCAATGCCGGTGATGCCCAATTCCACGGTCACACGAACTTTCGTTCTGCCTCAGCCGCCGGCAGAGGATGTGAAGGAGAATCTTGTGATAGGTCCAGAGAGGATTCTTGGGTTTTCTTCTAGGAAGGTGGCGGCGACGACCAGAACCACGGTGGCGAGGAAGCTCTCGATGGGAAATGCAGTCCCTCAAACGGAGCCAAGAGGGGCTAATGGGGCTAAGAATGTGCAAGAATTGGAGAAAGTAGAGAATGGCTCGGAGAAGCCCGGCTGCAGTAGTCGGATTCTCGTGTTTGTGCGGCTTCGGCCGATGGCCAAGAAGGAGAAGGAAGCGGGTTCGCGGTGTTGCGTCAAGATTGTGAACAGAAGAGATGTTTACTTAACGGAATTTGCAAGTGAGAACGACTATCTCCGGTTGAAGAGGCTCAGGGGCCGCCATTTTACTTTTGATGCCTCGTTTCCGGATTCCACCACTCAACAGGAAGTTTACACCACCACGTAAGTTCAATTGATACGTTTTTCTAGTTTTCCTGTCGAAAAGGTAAGATCTTGATTGATGAAATGGCTTTTAGTGTAAAAGTGCTGTTTCTAGCTCGTGGGTTCTTGTTTGGAAGCTAAGAAAATGAGGTTAGAGGAAGTAAATTGAGTTCCAAATCTTATGGTTTCATATTTCTAAACAAAAATCCCTTAATATAAATCTGCATGATTTATGGCCAAAAAAGGGGGGAAAATAGTCTTTTATGTTCTGTTGAATCTCTCTGAACTAATCAAAACCAAAAATTGGAACCAAAATTTGTGTTCTTCAGCTGATGCAGTATGCCGAAGCTTTAACAACCCATTTGAACTTTCAGAACTGCAGAGCTTGTGGAAGCAGTACTGCAGGGAAGGAATGGCTCAGTGTTCTGTTATGGTGCCACGGGCGCTGGAAAAACTTATACCATGCTGGGTACTATGGAGAATCCGGGGGTGATGGTTTTGGCAATTAAGGATCTCTTTACCAAGATTAGGCAGAGGAGCTGTGATGGAAGCCATGTCGTTCATCTTTCCTATCTCGAGGTCTACAATGAAACTGTTAGAGATTTGCTATCCCCTGGAAGGCCATTAGTCCTTAGGGAAGATAAACAGGTCTGCTTTCCAATTTAGTATGTTTTACATGTACTTTCATGTTGGATTTTGTTTAGAGTTTCCATTTTTGGAATGTCTAATCTTTGCAATTGGTCGCTTGAATAAACATAGGGGATTGTTGCAGCAGGTCTTACTCAATACAGGGCTTACTCCACAGATGAAGTGAGTTTTTTTGGCTTCTATTAATGATAGTTAGCTTAGAAGATCATAATTTTGATTGAATGGGGAGGGATTATAACAAATTCTTTGGATTTTTGTAGGTTATGGCATTGCTTCAACGGGGAAATCAAAACCGAACTACTGAACCTACTCGTGCTAATGAAACATCTTCGCGTTCCCATGCCATTCTTCAGGTACTTTAAATGCTCTGTGGTTGGTTGAATGTTCTTAATGTCAGTTCTTTAACTGTGTGTGTTACATTTAGGTTGTAGTTGAATATAAAGTGAAGAATGCTTCATTGGATGTCATCAATAAAGTAGGAAAGCTCTCCCTCATTGATCTTGCGGGGTCTGAAAGAGCTCTTGCAACTGATCAAAGAACACTAAGGTCACTTGAGGGTGCCAACATAAACAGGTCACTCCTTGCACTGAGCAGCTGCATCAATGCCCTTGTTGAGGGTAAAAAACACATACCTTATCGAAACTCAAAACTCACTCAACTCCTCAAGGACTCGCTTGGTGGTGTTTGTAACACCGTCATGATTGCTAATATCAGTCCTAGCAATCTATCATTTGGTGAAACACAAAACACGCTACATTGGGCTGATCGAGCCAAGGAGATCAGAACCAAGGTTAATCATCTCACTCCCTTGTGCCTCATCATTTAGTTTACGCTTACTTTATTGTGATTACTAATATATGTTTGCCTTATTCATCCTACACACTTAAAAGTAGGTGCTGCTTATTTTATCTCATCACGATTTTTCTTTGAACCATCACAAATTACAAAAGCATAAAACTTTTTTCCTTGCATCCCAAACAGTTCCAGGCATGTGAAGCAAATGACGAACTACTTGAAGTACCGGAATCAGGGACTGATCAGGCCAAGCTTTTATTAGAATTGCAGAAGGAAAATCGTGAATTGCGAGTACAACTGGCACGCCAGCAGCAGAAATTGCTAATCCTCCAGGCACAAACCTTGGCTGCAAATGCTTCCCCAACTCCATCTTCAGTTACATCTCTCATGACCCCTCCATCTGCTGCTACCCAACAAAACGAGAAGAGAAAGCTCCAAACAACCTTCTTAGCAGGCAACTGCTTCACGCCAGAATCCAAAAGGAGGGGAGCAGATGAAGCAAATAAAGAGCTTAGGCTTACTGTGAAAGCTTTAGAGGCACATATTGAAAGAATGAAGAAAGATCATGCATTGCAGCTAAGGCAGAAAGATGACCTCATTCGTGAACTTTCCAAAAGTGAAAAACCATCAGAAGTAAGGGGAGAAGGCGTTAAAAGGATTGTCAAAAGGGCTAGCTTGCGGCCAAAGGAACCAAACATTGGTGAGTTGAAGAGTCCAAGTCATCGATTCCGATCACCAGTTCCAACAGCTAAAAAAAGAAGCTTCTGGGACATTACAACAGCTAACAGTCCATCAATCTCCACACTAAATGGAAGAAAAACCAGAAGCCATGTCATTACAGAACCTGCTGCAGCTCCATCTATGCTTCTTCAGGTGCTGTAACTTTACCCTTCAATAAGATCATGCATATGCATATACATACAGAAGCACATCTCTGAATGCATATGCTTATACATGTTGATTTTTCCCCTGGGGGTTTCAAGCACCTCTCTTTGTCTTTTCATTTATATGCACATATCAGTCCCCTTTTTTTCCGTGCAACTGATGCTGTTTGCATATCCATGTTTCTGGTTTGTATTTAACGTTTGGACCCCACATCGCCAATTACATAATTCAGCCTGGTTTTGCTCGTCAAAAGCCTGTTCCTATGAAGTAGTGCTAATATATATGAGGAAGAGGAAGGAGAACAGAAAAGAAAACACAAAACTCAGGTGACTGAAGTGTGATAGAAGAGCAGTGCCTGTACCTTTTCTTCTTCCCGAGGACATTATCTCTTCTCAAGCTGGGGGCTTCAACAAGGAAGAAAGAAGAAAGCTCATCACCTTTGCTAGTACAGTGTAACTGGTTTTCTGTACTTATGTGATTACAGATCAACCAGCCATAAGAAAGGGATTGTATTCTTAAATTTGTGTTATTCTTTTCAGAATTGATTTCTTTTGTTCTATTATTAGGGTCGCCACTCACTGCTTTAGTGAAATAATTTTAAAGTTAAGGCTCTTGGAGTATCTTTATACCCAAAAAAAGCAAAAAAGTATGTATATTCATATTTTCTTAAATTTATTTATTTCCTAAATTTAATGCAACTTTTGCTCTTTCCATTAGTAACATCCAGTATAAGGATATTCTCACAACAATAAAAATGAAAGTAAATAATACTTAAGGTTTCACCATTAAAAAATTTAAAATGATTTATTGACAACGTTCATGTTGATTGTATAAATATCATTAAATTATTAATTCTTTTCATTTAACATAACATGTGAATCTATATATTCATTTATTTGATATCACGCATTCGCGCTACCGTTATCCTTACATATTCATCTCCAAACCAAAATTTCACAGGCTACATATCCATTTCTGTACTCCATCCATCAATTTCACCTTCATTATGACTACTAAGTTTTTTTGAACTGACAATATCACAGCAAAGTTGTTGTGGAACACACACAGTAGTCATAATTGCTTAAAACAATTATGGGATTTGAATGCAGCCCTAGCATAGCTAAGAAAAATAATGCAAGTAGCCATTTTGCAGTAAAGCAGGGTGGCCAATCCTTTAAAGCATAGCAGGCAACTTTTGAATCTTTTAATTTGCAGAATGATGAATAGATGCTAAAAAAAAAACCACAACCTCGAATTCTGTGCCGTTAGTAATCTCAACGTATTTGTTCTTGTCCTAGCTGTAATCCTCAACAAGTGGAGTTGCCCCTTTCCTTTTCCCTTTTCTGAGATGTATGAAAGGCAAAGCCATGAGACTAGGAGAAAAGTAAAACATGTGTTATTGTTCAATATGATTTGATAAAGAAGCATATTAAACTTGGCTTGATGTACCATACTATGAGAAGGGAGCACAAACCTGATAAAGTCACAAACTTTGGAGTATTTGAGGCAGGAAATCAAAGGTAAAAGCAGTCAAAGAAATTGAAAAAGGGCAATGCTGCTGTCAGGAATTGTATTTTGCTTTTGATGACTTCTATGATTAGGTTCTAACAAAATTTTTAGGGATTAATCCTTACAAAGTTTGTGCACCAAAATTATATTTGGAAGCTTGAAACAATATTAAATGTATCTTTTAGTCCGAACAATAAATGTAATTCCCTTATTCAATTAACCAATAATGATTAATGACATTTTATGAAGCATAAAAATGATATTTGCAGGCTGGACTGAGATCTTTTTCGGTTATTATTATTGTTGTTATTGTTATTATTTATTTTATTTTATTTTTGAACATATTTTATTGTTATTATTTATTTTATTTTGTTTTTGAACATATTCTATGCTGAACCTGAAATTATGTAGGCATGTATAAACAGGGAAAGAGGGTATTAATTTGAACTTGCAGCTATGATTGATGAACCTGTTTGTTTCCCAGAGAAAGAAAGAGTGGTAAATCATGCACAATCATTTGCATAATCTACCAAAATAAAGATGGGGCATCAATCATTTGATCTAGGCATTGATGTTATTACCTACTCTAAATATAAAAACACATCCTAAGCATTTTCATCATGACCTGGGCAATTCTTTTAGTTTTTTCTTTTTCTTCTTTTATGAGTGCAAAATTCCTTGCACAAAAAAGAAGCACAAAACAAATTAAGAAGCTGCATATTGAGTTGGGGATTTAGAGCATAAAAAAAAAAAAGCCAAGAAATCATCATGATTGCACCCAGATGCTCCATTACTTCATAGAGGATTTAAAGAAGAAAATTTTATACACATATACCTTCATGATCCCCCACCCCACATCATGTTCTATTGTATCCCCCTCCACCTAAAACTAGATTACAATATACCCACTTCCATTTTCACCCCAAAAAGCAAAAGAAAAATGAAAAAGATGAAATTTTGAGGAAACAAAGGACTATAGCTCCATTTCCATGGCTGAGGAGTCCAGAAATTTTGGGTCAGAGCGTCCATGGCAGCTTTTTTAGACTCTAAGCAAGTAGATACTGAGCTCAGGAGCTCCATTGCTATCCGGATTCATCATATAGAAAGCTTCAGAATCTCTTGAGCCAATAATTCTCTCAAACTTAGCTCTCATGTACATGAGTTCCCCGTCCGCGGTGCCCGCCTCTGTTCCGATCCCCGGCAGGACTCCTGCACCCATTGAAATTGGTTCCACAGCTTTCAGAACCTTCCATTCCTTAGCGCCGCATTCCCTCTTCGTTGCAAAACCGCATTTTTTACCGTTGCAGTAAGTTCTCCATACAGGCTCTTCCAGTAGCCTCACCGATTTCTTCTCTTCCTCTTTCTGTTTATCGCACTCCAACGCAATCCTCACCAACCCAGATGCCATTTCCCGAACCAGTACACTGATCGGCGTCGCAAGCTCGACGAGAAACGCTGGAGGCGAATTGGGATCCCTTTGGAATGCGAAGTGGACATGCCCACGCCGGTTGCCGAACAGGGTTCCCACCACTCTTGGCCCCAGAGCGTGGGTTAAGCTCGAGCGGTTCTTCCCCAAGGCAGTGAGAACGGACCGGAGTCTTGCAACTGCCACCGCTGGGAGCTTCCTCCTGGGTGTCGGCATGGCAACATGGGTCTTGACGCTCTCCGTATTCACTTCCTCTGAGGTGTTTGAAGAAGTGGGCTTCAAGGTCGGCACTTCATCGTCTTCAGTTCCCACCTTTTTTGTCCAGTGGAAGTGTCTCTTGGAGGAGTCTTGGAAAGCTCTAGCCATGGTTTTGCTTTCTTCTTCTTCTGAGAAGGGAAAAAAATCTAATGGGAAAGAGCAGGTTCTTAAAGAGAGAGATTCTGGTTTTTACTCTTTTACTGAGGAGTGGGGCTTCTCAATTTAATACTTTGTTTGTAGTCCATTTCCATTCTCCATTGTTATTGTGCAAGGGAATCCTGACAAAAGAAACAGAGGCTGTCCCACCAACTGATTTCAAGAAGAAGAGAGAGAGAATATGTTTTTGTGTGTTTTTGAAATGGGAAATACATGGAGGAAAAGATGAGAATCTCGGGAGACAATATGTGTGTTATTTCACTTTCCTAGTGGGGCAGGGTGATAAGGATTTGGCTTGACTAACGCTTTTGACTCCGTCTCCAACCCAGAAGCAGAAGAAACCATATATGGAGAGGCACAATAAATCAAAGCCAAGCAACACAACACTATTCACATAAAGACAATGCCCACAGCCCGTGTCCTGTAACTTATGCCTACACTTCACCTACCTAGGAACTGACACCTCAGTGCGCGGGACCCAAATATACATACATTCTGATGTCAAGGTTTCGCTAGTAATTGACACATCACTAGCTTGGTGGACCCATCCTATATCAAAGTGTGTCCTAAAGTGGCATACAAGTCAAGGAAAGATGCTTGGCCATTTACCGAGCTAAATATTAATTAGATAAATGCTGAATAAATGCATAAAGTAGCTTGGGAACAGAAATGGACTTGAACAAACTCTCACTAATTACACTAGGTTATAGACATCATCCATAGATCAAGTACAAAGGGAAGTGCTTATATCGACATAGGCCAGGGCACTCACCAATGGCTTTTTTGTACACATATAACATATGAGAGATTAGAAGCACAATTTGCGACAGTCAAGGATGCTTGCCTATAGTTGAAGAAAACAGAAAAAGGTCCTAAAGGTCAGCTCTCTATTCTTTGGTCAGCATCTGGTTGCTTGGGAGCAGCAGCCACACCGTTCATTCTTGCACGCGCTTCGGCAAACATTCTCTGCTGCTCAGCTGCTGCTTCTTCTTCGGTCATCTCAGCTACATTGTTCCATTTGCCACCTTTTAAAGAGTCATGCTGGAAAGCATTTCAAAAGTCCCATCAGCATGCACTAATGAGAATACAGTTTATACATTGAGTCAAACGGATGTTCATAGAAATGAAAATTACCAAGGTCTCTGTCTTGTGGTGCTCGTATGCAGCATATACCTCCTCAATGTATTCTCCAAATCCAAGAACCTGATAAATCACATGCATTCAGTGTTTAAAATCAAATTTAACACAATCTTTTATGCATTCTTCAGACTAGAACATTATTTCAGAATAAATTTAAGTAATGAACAGCTCACACAGCAGAAACCCAGGTTAAGAAAGTCCAAGATTGTAATTTTAAGGGTACATTGTAAGGACCGTGGAGTAACAACAAAGAGCAATTCAAGCTGTCAAAATAGATAAAATAGACAAATGTTCAAAGATAGACCAAAACAAAATTTCACTTTTTTATGCTGTATCTTCATATAGTCCACACATGGTCAGATCAACATATATGAAAAACCAATCCCTCTTACCTAAACAAGCTACATCCTGTCCAATCGCTAATAATAGTATTCTCAGTAAGTCACCAACCAATGACACTCTTTGGGTTAGACATCAAAGGAATACTGTTCTTACGTTGTGGAAAGACAGGCAAAACAAAAGAATCAATAACAATATTACTTTCCAACATTTAAAATAATGATTGAAGTTACAATAACAAGAAGGCAAGAACCTATGTCTAGTGCAAGAGTAAGCCAGTAAGTGAATAAAAACACTGCTGAACTAGTAAGTTTAACTGCTTATTGTAGGAACCATTTTAGAAGACTCATAATGCATGCATGGAGAAGTAGAAATTAGAAATCTGGGTGTAACAAAAATCAATTTCAGGAGCAGGAAGAGGGTGTATGGGCCAGATACCTCTAAGGCCTTGAGCACATGCTCAGGTGCAATTGTTCGTTTCTCCTCTTTGCTACAGACTTCATTGGACTCCGATGAAACAAGATTAATAAACTCTGCAAGAGCATTAAATGAAAGAAATTATTATAAACAAATATAAGAACTCACTAAAACCTATAAAAGTGGGTATTAATCAAAGAAACTACTTAGGAAATATAGATAGCTAATTCCATTAAAACAGGTATCCCAGCAACATCAAAGGAGAGAATGGACTTTCCTTCTGCAAAACTTAGTGGTTCATTAAATACTGGGAATTTTGGGTCGATTCTATTTCTCCCCTGCTAGGGTGGAATTATGACCTAGTTGAGTTTCTCTACTAGGCAAAGAAGGTATTGGAGAAGCAAACATTTGAAATGAACAAACATCACATTCTTTTATTTGAATTCTATGGAGAGACTCTTGATTCTCAGATTGATAGTTGCAATCATCTTTCCCTCTTGTAGTATATGAAATCAAACTACAGAAAACATTTGAATGGTCCTTCACAAGGTTGCTCAAGAAAGACAGGCCTGTGGCAGACAAGCTCACCAAGTATAAGAGAGAAGATATGAATCGATTGTTAAGTTGTAAATTAGAATCTTGAAGGAAAACAGGTTCCAGATATTCTACGACATCAGCAACTTATAGCCTTTTTGTTGTATTGAATGCAAAGAAATTCTAGGGAAATAATTCTCCTTTGAATGTAAGAGCCCATTTATGGGCAAACTTTCCAAGGGAGATTACCAGGGAGCAAGTTTTCCTTAAAGGTCAACAACTGCAAAAGAGAGCAAGGGAAGAAAGTTGACATAACATCAATCACATTTTGATAGATGCTGATGAGAAGATTGTTGTCTCACCTACACAGCACTCAATCAAAAGATCTTGAGCATCCCTCGCAACACGAACATCTGCTGGTAACATCTCCTTTATAATTTTGGTCATGGTAGCTGCAAAAAGAAGAAAGGAGAAAATCATATTCTGCATCATATATGTAGAAACAAACAGAGAGTTAACATCAGCTTGGCAGTTTAGGGCATTAGGTGTGAACCAATAAACAGAAAACGATTGTTAATCTCGTGCCATAATTTGAACTAAGTACAAAGGATTTTAGTCAACAGAACACATTTGCTAACTCATAAGGCAAATAATTGTAGCAAATGTAAATTACTTAAAACATTACTGTCTGACTCCTATCCGTGCTGCACAAATTGCCCAGACAAAGGAAAGCATCAAGCAGACTCAATACAGTCATCAAAAACACCAACCTATCTCAATGCAAATTGCTTTCTGACCCAAAGATGATCAACCTAAAGCGAGACTTTGGAAATTGGTTTATTAAATGAATTTAATCATCCTTCCTCAAATGGACAGCAAAGCCCAATAACAGCACTAGCACACTCCCTCACAAGACTAAATCATCCTTACTTGCAGTTGGTACAGCCCTTAATAAGCCTTTGAAGCTATACATGAAATGACTATCCAGAACATCCGCTACCTTATTGTGCATGGCCTCAAGGATGCATGGTCCTTTCCCCTCTCTCAGGCAAACTCACTAGGCTTCCAACACCCTCGTATGGGATCAGGTTTGACATTAAGAGCTCTCAATGACATAACTCCGTAGCAACAACATCTAGAATACTACGATTACATTACTATGCAGTTTCAGGGGAAACCATCTTCACCCCCTAACCCACCCAAAAAATATTCCACACCCTAAAGGTTGCTAATTTATTTCCTTGGAAAGCAATAGAGCCACGCAAGTCCCTTTGACACTTGTTTCATGAATTCACATCCACAAACTCAGTTAACCCCACCTCCAATTGCAGTCTGCAGTACAGAGAGTTTTAACCTTTAATTACCATACCACCACCCCTTAGAAAGAATCAGCATTCTGGGCATAGGGTTAACATTATTAAGCTTCTAAAGCTAGAAATTTATTTATTTATTTATTAATATAATAATAATAATAATTTCCAAAAAAGCAAAAAAAAACCCTATCTAAAAAACTAACCTGAAGAGAAACAAACCCCAAAGAGAGACAAAAAAAAAGATAAGATTTTTGAAGAAAAATATCATAAAAATAACAAAGCAATTGACAAATAAGTTAAAGAAAATACCTTTGGGAAGCGAGGCGTCCTCTTTCGTCTTCCCCACGATATCCATTGGGTCCATTTTGAATCTAAACGCAATTTTTACGTTCGATCAAAATTTAGCAATAAATATAAACAGATCTGAAACTGGGATAATGCAAGATAGGGATGATTTGAGTTACCGAGTCACTGAGTCGAGACGAAAGCGGTGATCCCTGCGGGCGCAAAACCTAAAAACGGAGTCAACTGATTTGCGATCCGAGTTGCGGTGAAGATCAAGGGGTGGAACATGGTTGATATATGGTATAGGAGGAAGTCATGGCGTTTCTTGATAACAGGCGAGTTTCGGTCGATTAGGGCGAAAAACAAAGAATGTGGGGGGAGCTTGGGTTCCCCAAGCGCTCACTCTGGCGCGTTGGATGGCTACCGTAATTAGTGGATCAGGTGGACCGGGTGGTTGGTGTGTGTTGGGCACTCGAGCTCATGGCGCGTGAATGATACTGGATTAAAGAATTTTCTCAATCGTCTTTTGTTTTATTTTATTATTTCTTTTCTTTTCT